TTGAAATTTCAGATTTACCAGCGAATTAAAAATTTAGTTTTTGGTCCAGTGTTCTCAAATTGGGTCAAGTTTATCGAACAAGTGACATTGATAATTTATGATAGAAATTCAAAGAGCTCTAAAGGGATCTATATTTTTACCAGTTCGTATGTTTGAAATTTTGTTTACTTGCGTTCATTGACTCTTATCCAACTCTCTGTTGGCTGTGTTCCAAAATATTACTGCTATACGAACAAAATTGGAAATTACTGAAGTGCATTTGAACATAATTTTGTCTTTATGAATGCACTTTGGTTCATGTGCACTTTTGGGCTTTAGTTTATAGTAATTCTTTGAAGAGCGGTTTGCTTTGCTCCTCCTCTGTGCTCTTTTTGATTTTTTTTTACTGGAATGGCGTTAACAAATAAGGGAGGTATCATATTTAAGTCCAGGACCTGTTGATTTTTTCAAACGAGTAATCTTCCGAGTAAAAAAAATGTTATTTTCATTATACGATTTGTCAGCTTATGTTTTATCGGCTTATTTGCCCCATGGTAGAATGATGTTTTTTGTGCAATTTACATTTTTGTTGATTTGGAGTTTTTTGATTTATTTCTGCTGCGTGTAACTGTATGTGTTTTCAGTAGATTTTTTTTTCGTTCAATTTTTTTGTTTTGGTTCCAGCAAAATTGTCCATTTTTGAAACTTAGTTGCTCTTTTTTTTTTGCTCTTTGCTACCTTGCAATGCTTTTGTTTGGGTGGAATCCTAAGTAGCGCAAAACTCTGCTTTGCCTCTGAGTCAATTATTTCGGTGTAAAATTTATATCGAAAAATAAGTTCGAAGATTCTAAAAAATGTAATTAATGTCTTTGTTTTTTTTTGTGGCATGACGATTTTCAGAGTTTTAGTAATATAATCTGTTATTAAAATAATCTGCACTATCTACCGGAAACTGAAAAAGAACAAAAATAGAAAGTATTTTCCGAAAAAAAAATTCGTGATGACTATTTGTTTAAACGCAATTTTAGGCAATTAATCAATTATCGCTGGTGGCCGATAGAATGAAGCGTTTTGAGGAACGCTTCATCTAATGATTAGCATAGCATTACGTTACAATTGATTACCTAAAACTGCTTTGAAACTGATGCTCAGCAATAATTTGATAATATATTACTTCATCTAAATTACTATTTTGATTTATCTGCGTTTTCATTATTTGTTTGTTTTGTGCCTAAAATTGTTTTGCAACTAAAAAAAAATTTACAGAAGTTTTCCAAAAATGTAGCAAAAAAACCAACGAAGTTTTTACTGATAATTTAAGTTAATTCATGGTCGCAATGGTTCATGATAACGGCTATGCCTTTAGATTTAATGAATTAGCTAAAGTCTCAGTTTATTACCCCAAAGGGCTTTCGAAATTAATTTAAAAAGTTGTAGTCAAAACCTGAATTTTGTACCGATGATTCTTAGTTCATGGACGCAATGTTTCAATTTTGAGGTCATAAGTTTTGATTCATCACATTTCACAAATTATTTATTCAAAATGAAAATTATTGGTAAATTATAAAAACTTCCAGTCAAAAAATGAAATTTCACTGATGATTTTTAGTTAATTCAGGTTCGCAATGCTTCATTTTTTAGCTCATAAATTTTGGTTCATCAAATTTTACAGATTTTCCAGCTTCTTTTTAAAGTGCTCACAACCTCGCGAAAAAAAAGTTTTATAGAAAAATTGCCGAAACACGAAACACTTTGCAGTAAACAGATTGTAGATTAATCGATGTGATACTTAAATTAATCTGTAGATTTTTTGCATATCATCAATTTTTTGTCCATTTTTGTCAATGTGGGTATGTTTCGACAGACTCGAGTTCATGCTCGAGGAATGTTTCGACCGCGCTCAAGGAATTTTTCGACCATGTTCGAGGTTTTTTCCGAACGTGCTTGGTGTATGTTTCGACCGTGCTCGACTCCGCTCGACCGTGCTAGAGGTATGTTTCGAATTTGTGCTTGACCCAAATTCCTCTCTTGACTATTCTTTTGCGGTCGAGCACTGACATGTGCTCCAATTTGAAACACGAAACTTAAAGTGAGCACCTCGCTCGGGAGGGGGTTGTTATACCCATATGCTTTTCTCCCCTGTGTTGCAATAATGGTTAAAAAACTTTTTATAAAAATAGCTATTGGTGGAGGTCTTTGATCTTGACAATTTGAGATGTCCATTTGTGACAGATTTTGCTCAAGTACAGGTCAGAGGTGACATTAGGTGACAAATTTTCATGGCAATTATATTAGTAGTTTTAAGCAAAATGCTCTTTTTTGATTCTTCTGTGCCTCTATTTTATTCCCCTGCGCGCTATGTAAACTTCAAGACGATGTATAATTAATACAAAACTGTTGGCAATATCGGTGATTGTGAGCAATATAATCAATCAAAATTTAGCGGAAGTTAAAGGAAGGCTTAAAATTAACTAACTTCAATTAAAGTCGTTGACCGAAAACATAACTTCCAAACAATGATTTTTTATAGTCGTCAAAATTGTCCCAAAACTAAACTTCCATATATTTTCAAAAAATGACAACCAGTGATATTCTAAGTTAAAAAGTCAAAAAAGTTCTGTAGCAAAAATGGAGCCACTCACCAGTATTTCTTTTTTCTTCAAAAGTCACAATAATAGAATGATTTAGCAATGCACAGCAACCAAACGGTCATGATTTAGCTGGTGTGAGATTCAATATCATTTTGAAGTACAGAACTACTAAGTAAAGAAACTTGATCAAATTGGCTGGCGACGAATAGCCCTTTTTTCTAATTGATGGAATATTTGTGCTTGATTTGGTGTTTTTCATGAAATAGATTTCAATTTTTTAGCTAGCATTTTTGACGGGAGTTTTTTTATGCTATTCAAAAACTACTGATCCATTGATGTAATAATTTTTTTATGTACGATAATTTTTCCCAAAATCAAAAGGGTTTGATTCTAAAACTAATTTGAATTCGTTGGGATAACTAAAACGTAACATACTTAACAATTTCCTTTCTATCAAGAGACTCTTAAGAAGACTAAGTTAATCGAATTTATTTCCCATCAGAATGAAGCAAAAATTGATTTTTCAATCGAAAATCCAGTGCTAATTTCTTGTTTTTGTTTATAGAGGTGGAGATTTTTTGGTAGTTACCATAGAGGCGTGATTATTAAGCAGATAGCTAAAATGCGTAAATTATCCTTTTGATTACGAGAATTAGGAATAGTTAAAGCGCATTTTAAATTTAAAGCCCTGAATGTTCCGACCGCCTTTTTAGGTCTATTGAGCATTTAAGTTCAATAAATATAATTTTAATTTTTTTTTGAAAAAATTAGAGATGTTTTGTAGAAACATCCCTCTACACGCCATATTAAGTACAAAATGGTAGATTTTAATCCTATTAGCAAATCAATTATGGCATATAAGCTTCCTTGAACCAATTTGGAACAATTTCTAAAACCGATTAAATCTCTGCTTACGCATCAATAGCGCAAAATATATTGCGCGTTAATTGTCCTAAATTGGCCAGAATTGCAATCTTTACACCCCCATAACTTTACAAAAAATAATCACAGGTGAAATATCATTTCAAATTTAAGCTCTGGACAACAATAGCTTTCGAATGATGTTTAAAAAAAGTTCCGTCAAAAATGACAAGTTAAAAAGCCAAAACTTGTCTGAAGTAGAAAAAAAACCACCCTGAGCGCAAATATTCCGTTACTTTCGTTACGAAAATCGGAACAATAATGTTAACTAGTAGCGTACACACGCCAAAAAAAAATTGGCTCATAAATACTCCCAAGTTGAATTGAGGCAAGCTATTTGATCTAATCGTGTGTTAGTGTATGCGGAACATAGCATTTTGTACTTTATACAGCGTATGGGGAGATGATTTGCACAACAAAATCTGAGACGAAATCTTATTTCAATTTGTTTTCTATGATGGGCATTTTTTTCCAAAAAAGTACTCCTTAAACGTTGAAGGGCACTCGAAATATGAGCGGTCTTTTCTCTACTTAACGTACAACTTTGTCCCACCCCCTTAAAAATTCAAATTGTTTTACCCGAATAGACATTCTACTTGACAGGCACTGAAGCCTTTGTGGTGATCAAGAAAGTTTCAAAACTGAAACACGCTTAGAATACTTGTAAGCACCAGCGGATTTAAGGGGGGCGGGGGACCCTTTGCACTAATTTAAGTTATCCATTTTTGGCTGGCGAACCCTAAAATTTTCTGAAGGCGCCTTTGGCCCCAATACATACTAAATTTTAGGGGAAAACGGGCGCCGAAAAACGCAATTCTTAGGTCAAAATTTTTCAAAAAGTGCTTAAAACGCCTTTTTTGGCCTTTTTATCAAAATGCTGCCTGCGCCGCTGAAAACTTAGTCAAAGTAGGGTCTTAATGGTGATGTATGAGAGCTTGGAAAATCAAATCGGTCGACCTAAAAACAGCCAATAAAATTTTTGATTTTTTCTTACTTTTTACCGCCCCTGCTTGTAGATTATTTTGCTTTCTTGAATTTCTTTCATTTTTGTCGTTTTTATCATCATTATGATTATGATTTTTTAATGAATATCATAATGATCAGGTGCGGATGTAAAATATTTGCGGAGGAAGAAGGGGGATACGGTCGGATTTATAAAAAAAAAGTTGAAAATTTTGTCGACCTTCTTTTAGATGGACCAAATTGATTTTCTGAGCATTCCCAAATCACAATAAAGACCCTATTTAAGCCAAATTTTCTATGCTGGCCATAGAAAAAAATTAGGGTCGGTCAGCCAAAATGGATGTCTTAAAATAGTACCAAAAATATTAAAATTTATTATGATCAATAAATTTTAATATTTTTAAATACTTTTTTATTTATTATGAATATTATGTTTACTTACTATTATTGTTATCATTTTGATTACATTATCATCATGGTTGTTTTTAATGTGATGATAATAATTATGATAACTTTTTTTAAATTAAATGTCTTAGTTTAACTTACAGACTCCCTGCAGACAGTATGTAACAAAGAAGGGACACCAGCTGATGAGGAAACACGTGAACACAACTCCCAACACCTTCATCGCTTTCTTCTGCGCACTCTGAAATGTCATTCTCTGCACAAAGCTCTTTGCCTCGCTCGAGTGGATCCCAGCCACGTTGCGTTTGGCATCGGCTCGTCGCGAAAACTCCGTGCTCCCGTAGAGTTCCATGATAGTGACAAAGTACAAGACCGCCATGATTGTCGCCGGCAGGAAAAACGACCCGGTTGCACTGTAAATTATAAACAGTTGACTCGTGTCGAAGTATCCGCACTCGCCCTTCTCCGAGAGAAAATTGTTCTCGGCTACTGTCGGCTTGTCCGGCGAAGAGTGAATCGTATTTCGGATCAGATATCCCGGAAAAGCTACCATAATCGAGAGTATCCAGACCAGGGATATTTTGAGGACTGTGGAGCATCGGGATCCCCCGTGTATTTTGTGTCGCAGAGGGTACTTGATGACGAGGAATCGATCGAGAGATATAATGGTCAGATGGAGAATTGAAGAGGTACAAAGAAGCACATCTACATGTAGATAGACGTTGCACACTAGATTTCCCATTGGCCATAGACCTAGTAAAAGTAGGCATGCATTTAATCAACCTTATTTTAAGTGTAGCAAGGTACAATTACATCCGAAAAAATATGAAAGTTGTGTTCCAAAAACATGTATTTGCCAAAGGGGGAGAGTGGAGAATGTAATAAAGGGTGGCATTGAACTCATATGTATTCTACATCAACAATTTAATATGCGCCAGCTTAAATTCAGCAAAGTTATCATTTGAGTAGATGAGTTTTTTTACATTTTACCAATTGCCGTTATACCATCCGTCTTGTTGTTTTTTTTTAAACTCCTACCTAGCAGTGGAACTAAGCTCGCATTACTTAAACATAACTAGCTAGTTCTATCTTCTGTAGAATTGTACAAGAAGTTCGTAAATCTGATGTTTGAATCTTATGATGTATAAACTCAATGGCAGAATGGAAGATAAACTTTTTTATCTCCAGCTGGTTAAAACTGAGCACGAAATCATCAATTATTGGAATTGCGCAATCCTGTAAGCTAAAAAGAGTTTATTTTCAACAATAACTGATGACAAAAGAGCGCATAAATAATCAAAGCTATAGCAAAAACTTTAAATGGAATTAAATGTGAATCTTTTGTTTTCTAGGATTTTAACAATGAAATCATTTATTGTACTGTTCTTTTTGTTCCGACTTTCGATACGAAAGTAACGGAATATTTGTGCTCAGGGTGGGTTTTTTTTCTTCAGACAAATTTCGACTTTTTAACTAGCCATTTTGACGGAATTTTTTGATATCATTCAAAAGGTATTGTTGTCCTGAGCTTAATTTTGAAAAGATATTTCACCTGTGATCTTTTTTCGTAAAGTTATTGGGGTTTAAAGATGGCCATTTTGGCCATTTTGGGACAATTAACGCGCGATATAATTCGCGCTATTAACGCATAAGCGGAGATTTAATCCGCCTTAGAAATCGTTCCAAATTGGTTGAAAGAAGCTTATTTGCCATAATTGATTTGTTACAAGGAGCGAAAACTATTGTTTTGTACTTTACATGGCGTGTGGGGGGATGATTTATTTTATTTAATTTAATTTTTCATGTTGCTTATGTTATTACTGCTCCATGTACCTTAAAACCAGTCAGAAAATTCAGGGTTTCGCCCTGATACGAGCAGTTTTGTTTGTTTTCAGCTTACTTCTTTCTGTTTACAACGACAAAAATCGATCAAATTTTGAAAAACTTTTTAAAATATTTGGAATGGGGACTTGAAAACGTTAACAGGCTCTAAAAAACAAACCAGACTGCTCGAATCAGGGCGAAACCCTGAATGTTCCGACTGCCTTTTAAGTTCTATTGAGCAGTAATAATATGAAAAATTTAAATGTTAAAAAAAACTAATTTTTTTTATTGAGATTTTTTGTAAAAATCATCCCCCCCGCACGCAATATTAAGTACAAAGTGATAAATTTCGCTACTATTAACGAATCAATCATGGCATATAAGCTTCTCTGAACCAATTTGGAACGATTTCTAAAAAGGATTAAATCTCCACTTACGCGTTAATAGCGCGAAATACATCGCGCGTTAATTGTCCCAAATCGGCCAAAATGGCAATATTTAAACCCCCATAGCTTTAGGAAAAATGATCACAGATGAAATTTTTTTTTCAAATTTAAGCTCAGGACAACAATAGATGTCGAATAATTTTTAAAAAAATCCGTCAAAAAAGGCTAGTTAAAAAGTCGAAGTTTGTCTGAAGAAAAAAACCACCCGAGCACAGATATTCCGTTACTTTCGTTACGAAAGTCGGAACAATAAAGAAATGTTTTTGGTTAAATGATCTTTTGCAGAAAATGTAACTGGCTGACATAGCTAATTCTCATGTCCTGAAATTAGGAGCTGAATTTTTGTTACGGCTAAAGGGTAAAAGGGCAAGGCCGCAGTTCGCAGAAAACGACAACTGGTCGAAAGCGACAACTGTTAATCTAACAGAAAGGCGGCAAATTTTAGGCAGCAACTTTTTACAACCACCAATAATTACTACTTTAAACTTGCTCCCTTTAGTCTGAACATGGGCGATAACGCCGATGAAAACTAGGCATTATCATAAGAAGTTTGCATCTTTGGGCTGACAAGCACACAACACGTATCAAACCAATTGTGGGTGACATAACAACTAAGATCTACTAACTGCTGCTTGCCGCGAGTTATCGCGTGGCGCGAAGCGTCGAAATAGTGAAAAATTGCTTTGAAGGAATTGTCGCCTCACAGAAGAAAAAGTACAGATTATGTGCTGGGCATTTTTTGATCAAATAAAATTCCAATTAAACCGGCTCAGAAAGAAGTGCAAATTCAATCGCGGCAAGAATTGGGTCTTGTTACTACGAAATTGGATGCGAGATATCAGTACTTTCATAAGAACTTTTCAAAATCAAAAAGCTGTCTTTTTATCCAAAAAGAAGACGCCCAATCTGATGCGAACCCTAATCTTGTTGCAATTATTGGATCAACTATACAATTCCCCCTTCCCCCAATCTATTTAGGGAAAGAAAATAAAACTTTTTCATAAGGTAACTTTAAGTATAGCCTAGATGCGTTCAAAATTGACCGCATTACGAAAGAAAAATATAAAAAGCAATTTTAAACGCGTTTGTTTGAAATGCATATTATATTTTATACAGAATTTTTTTAGACTTATATGCTTGGGGAGGGCATTCTACGGAAGGTGACTTAAAGGGGGGGGGGGGGAAGATTGCACGGTTGATCTCAATTTTTATACTCCCATATTAGGATCTTTATCAACGGTTAACGAGCATGTTTGAAAGCATGCCTTTAATTGAACACTACTGAGCCATATGGACTTATTCCGTTAATTATGGTCTTTTTACTTCTAATTGCTACCTCTTTTATCTTAATTATGAGACTGATCACCCTGATAAATTTTTTATGGGAAAAATTTAAATCAGCGTAGAAAATTAATTGAACAATGGCCCATTTTTTCCTGTTTATTTTCGGTATGAAAAATAAAAAATTTTTAAAAAAATGCCCAAAAATTTTGTTCGAGAACCTATAGGTCACAGAGCACATAAGGTATTATTTTTTTAATATATATCAGAGTTACGAAAATTTGCAGAATTTCTGTGGCTGATTTCATCATTTGAACCGTAGTCATTCATCTTTCATGGCTCGCTGCCTACGTAATACAATCACTAACGGACGGGCAAGTAAATCGACAACATGATTATAACGGTTTTTGTTTTCAGGACTTATTCAACTGATTTATTCTGATTGCAGACTACGTAAAAGATTTTAGACAGTCAGGTGCAAATATCACAAGTTTTCGGCTTTTTCCATAACAGCCTCCCAGGCTACTACTCCCGGGTTGACCAAAAATGCTAATCATACAATTTTCGTGCACCAAAATGAAATTTAAGTGCATGAAAAGTGTTTTTTTTTAACTTAACACTTTAATTTAAAAATTTTTTTGTTGTTTTTAACCGATCACAAGTATGATGAAAACTCTGGTTACTCAAAACTAGAGTCACCAAAGTTAAACGGTCTTGCAGATACATTGCGTTGGAAACTACTTGAATATCGATGTCGTACAGATAATTAACAAAATATAGTGAAAATAGCAAAAATCTAAATTTTGGCATACATTTTCATAAATGTAATTTTTTTCTAATTTCAACTTTAAGTTAATCATTCATTGCCCAAGGCATACAAAGTATGCAATATATGCAGAAGAAATAGGTTACTAGTAGGACAATTAGCTGCAAGAAATCAAAATACAGCCCGTCAAGCAATGGTTTTGTTATTGGGTTGGGGTTATAAATTGATAGGTTGCTGTATGTGAACGAGCCTTTTTGACGATTAGCAACGACGTTTATTTTGACTTCTTCATTTTTCAGCTATTCTGATACTTCTGATCTGTAATATCAAAGATCTGAAAAATTATTTTCTTATTTTCCGGAACATAATCTTGCCACTTTTCGAAAAACTTTGGTCGACCTCTTAATTTAGGTCGGCAAAATGGGATCTACTTAACAATCGCCCTCCCTTTGGTATCTACTTAAGAATTGCCACCCCTATTAATGAAAGCAGTAAATTAGCACTGAGCTTTCTATTGAGAATAATAATTTTGCTGCATTCTGATCGGTCGAAAATGCGTTATTGTAATCTATTTAACAATGCCCCCCTTTCTTAAAGGGGGGGGGGAGAAGGGGCAATTGTTAAGTAGATCCGAAAAATGATTTTCCGAACTAGCCGAAAACAACATTTATAAAAAAATTCAGCTCTTCAAGCTTTTTTTGAAAAAAAAACATCAAAAATGACGTTTTCAGTCATTTCTTGGGCAGTTTTGCCCAAAAAATTGCGCCATTTTGTTGCGCGCTTTTCTTTCAAAATTATTACGCAACGTATGAAAAATATTATTGCATTGCCTTCAAAAAACTTTATTGACATAATGTGAGATGAGTCGTAAATTCGAAAACAGTCTACCCCTATGCCCCTGACCAAAAATAGAATTTTTCGGTACGCGTTCTCCTTCCTGAATGTATCTTCCACTAAGAACACGAAACCTAACCATACTAAATCCCTAACTGACTTTGTCTAAGATAAACCTCTTGCGAATGAGGTAATGTTCGTTAATCATTTATTGCGCATTGCGAAGTATAATACACTTGTCTGGGTTTGGTAGAATTATACTAAAGTGAACTTTTAAATTGAAATAAAGAAACTGACAGTTCGGACTTAGTGTTGGTTTGAACAATAACAGTCCAGACAGACGAGGGGATTAGATAGCACCTGCTTAGACAGATCGGCAGATAAATTATGGATGGGAGGAACGGGATTAGGGAATGAAGCCGGGGAATCCAGTTTCTGCTACCTATCCACTAGTGCCGGCTACATGCGCGAATGCGAAAAATCAATTGGCAAAAATCATGTGAACGTTTTTGCGAAGAAAAATGGAAATTTAAGAACAAAAAATGAGAAAAAAATGTAGGGGTTGCATAGGAAGCTTCAAATATAGTCTTTTGGAATTACCC